CCCAGGACTGGGCAGGGTTCTGCTCTGTTGTACACAAGGTCGCTGTGAGTCAGGAGTGACTTGACGGCACCTAACAACAACAAATAATGCCTTTCACTCAAGCCTTTTCCTAGGAGGTTCCCAGGGGATCCCTTGGTGGTTTAGTCTAACACAAACTTACACATTTCTCTGTCAGGACATTCTCGACAAATAGTTTCTCAAAATTTGTCTGAAAAATGTCCAGAAACAGGGAGCTCTCTACCTCACGAAACAGCTCAACCCACTTTTGGCTAGGGATGACAGAAGGTTCTTCACTATGATGGCAAATTTCTCCCATGGAATTTCTACATATTGCTTCAAGTTCTACATCTGGCTGCCACGTCCTTTCCCTTTCCAAACCCTAACACGTTTGAACACAATGACCACGTCTTCCCAAGTCTTCTCCAGCACCTTTAACTTTTCCTCAACTGCCCTGGCCTTTATGATCAACAGCTCCTCCCTAGCACGCTCCAGTGTAAAACACAGACGTCAATGTCCCAAAACAGGCCCAATGACATGGTCTAAGCAGCCTGGAAAATGAGCAGAGGAGGGTCTGGTTGGGGTGGTGGCTAGAACCACTGTTGCTGAATGCAGGAGCACCAGGTGGCATGCAGAGCACTCCGTTCCCTTAGTTACTAACCCTCGTCAAACAATGACGTGGATTTGACTACTGTGGCCTCTTATTTTACAGATGAGAAAACCTGAGGTTCGAGGCATATAAAGGGCTCCCCCAAGCAGCGCTGGGATTCAAACCAGGTCTGACTCCAGGGCTTTCACCTCCAGATCCAGCTCAAGGTCCCATAAGGCTAACAGTTTCCTGAACACTTAGAGAACAATGCAAACAGTTATCAAACAACATCTGTTTCTTCCAAGGTTTTTGTTTAGAACAAAACTGACTTCTGTCGAGTTGGTTCTGACTCATAGCAACCCTTATTGGAAAATGTAAAACTGTTCCCTCCTAGGATTTGAGGCTACAATCTTTACGGAAGCTGACTGCTGCATCTTTCTCCCATGCAGCAGCTGGTAGGTTAGAACCATCAACCTTCTAGTTCGCACCTGAGTGCTTTACCTGCTGTGCCACCAGGACTCCTTTTGTAACAGTGATTCTCAAAGGGGATCTGTGGTCCCTGGGCTCTGCAAGGTCAAAACTATTCTCAGAACAATCTTAAGAAACTGTTGTTCTTTTTTGCTGTGTTGCTATCTGCACAGGCCAATGGCAGGTCCCGTGACGGAACAAATTGAGGCAGCTGTCCTTCTACCCTCAGGTTTTTAAAAAAGCCAATTTCCCTTACCAATGTCTTCAAGAAGCAGTTGAAAAGGACAACTTTTGTTAAATGCTGACCCTTGAGTACAAAGCTTCTCCACATTTTGTATGAAATAGTACGCGTGCAGAAACAATCCTGTGTATCTAAGTACCATGACAGCCTCAAGGAAGAGCCCTTGGGCACTCGGCAGACATTTTTTCAGAAATGAAGGCAGTGAACCTGTCACCTCAAGGGAAACTCTGATGCACCGGCAGGCAATGACGCATCCAAGCTTTCAAACAAAAACTGGAATTTTTAAAAACGTTTAGTAGCCCCTGTGAGCTTGCCAGTTTTCCAATACTAAACGGCTTGGCTGATGAGTATGTTTTTAATAAACGCAACTTTTTAATTATGGAATGAATTGCATCAACATTTAGCAAATCTGCACAACACAGTGAAGCATTATCTTCCAAGTCATCAAAGCCTGAAATTATAAAATCATGCATGAGAAAAAGCACCATTCATAGTGCAAAAGAGACTGGGGGATTTTACTGAAGCAGAGAACACAAAGTTCACTGACAAAGTTTCCAATTCCGCATTGCAACTAACCTTTAGGAAAGGCCCATTTGTTGAGTTTTGGTGAAGCCTCAAAGAATACCTGCAGCTACCTGAAAGGACTACTAAGATACTTCTCTCCCTTCCGGACTACGTAACTGTGTGAACTGATTTTCTTCATATGCTATCACCAAAGCAACGTAACGCAGGAGACTAACCACAGACGCACATATGAAAGCTGTCTCCTATCAAGTCAGACATTAAAGAGACTTGTGAAATGATAAAATGCCACTCTTTGCAATAATTTTTTTTTGGGAGAAACCATTATTTTTCATTAATAAATGCTATTTATGTACATGTAATAGGTTTATTAGTGTTTCAAAATAAATTAGTAAATAACAACATAAATAAATAATAATCCCGCCCCCTCAGTTGTAAATTACAAAATGATAAATATCAGTACACTAAACCCAAACGAGTAACAGCTCTTTGGAATCCTCAGTTTTAAATTGTGTAAAGAAATCAAAACATTTGAGGGCTGCTGTAGGAGAAAACTGAAAAACCAAAACCAAACTCACTGCCGTCGACTTGATCCTGACTCATTGCGACCATTCCTTGGGTTTCCGAGGTGGTATCACTATGGAAGTAGATTGCCCAACCTTCCTTCCGAGGAGTGCCTGGTGGGTTTGAACCGCCAACCTTCTGGTTAACAGTCAAGTGCCTTAGGTACTACGCTACCAGAGCTCCCAGAAAATTAAAAACAGGTTTTAAAGAGGCAAGGGAACTCTGGTAGCATAGTGCCTAAGGCACCTGACTGCTAACCAGAAGGCTGGCAGTTCAAATCCACCAGCCACTCCTTGGAAGGAAGGTTGGGCAATCTACTTCCATAGTGATATCACTCGGAAACCCAAGGAGTGGTCGCTATGAGGCAGGTCCAACTTCACAGCACGTAACAGCAACAGAGGCAGAGTGGATAGGAGACTGCCATCTAGTGGAGGAAACAGTTACGACACCAATATGTCCGCTAACAAAAATCCACTGTAGGGACCTGTCCTAGTCTTGGAAACTTCATACACTTAAGGCAGTATGTAACTTCATACACTTACACTTCATACACTTACACTTCATACCAGCGACATGCTCCAAAGTATCCAAAATATTGTTAAATACCAATCACAATAAAACTGAAATGTGCCAGAAAGTTTCTGGGACAGAGGTGGCAGAGGGGCTAGAGACAGACGCCATGTAAACCCGGTCTGACCCACACTAGGCAGGCGGGGAAGCCAGGGAGGGACAGCACGAGGGCAAGGACGTCACAGAAACCCGTGCTGGGGACTACCTGCGGCCCTTGGAGAGGCCACATGACCTTTCACTATGCCCCTGGCGGGCCTTTGGCGGCCACTGGGACCACGAACATGTGAGCTAGTGGGCTGCCTGCGGCTCTCCATGAGTCAAGTTGCTTTCGGGCTGCATTTGCTGTGTTCTCATTCAGAGGGCTCCTCAAAAGTAACAGAAATTGTTCCACGTAAAGTTTCCTTTCCACATTCAGACTCAAAACTCAAATGGCTGACATGGTCCAATAAAGCACACCAGGCAAGAAGCAAACATAAAAGACAAGTCATTCCAACCGTGACAGGAGGTTCCGAAAGGGGAAGCTGAGTGCAACGTTCGCACACCTCCCAGCTATATTTTGTTTTCCCCAGCTTGTTCCACTGCTCCCAGACAGAGCAGTGGTACCTCTTTTTGTTTGTCATGTGGCCACTCCCTCATAACCATGCTCTTGCCAGGGGATTTACCGTTGGGCTTGCTGCATTTGTCCAGGGACTACTGCAGAGGTGAAGTGCATGTTCCCTGCTCTCCAGCCCGCCTCCCAGGAGGCTGTCCAGCCCTGGCCGAAAGCAGGCAGCTGTGCACTTTATGCCTCCAGGCCCTAAGCCACCTCCTCTCCCCAGCAACTGAAGCCCCAGACTGGGTCACACGGAGTGGCTCCCCTGGCTTGCGGGGGTGGGCAGACTAAGGCCCAGGTACTAAGAGTAAGGATACTAACACTGCTGACTGGTTTCCTTTCTGCAAACCAGAGCCAAGCTGTGACGGCCCAGAATGATGCCACGGGTCTGCCCCACGCCCTCTTGCTAGGAAGGCTTGGACAAGTTCTGGGGCCTGGGATCCTCACTTGGTGCAGAGAGGAGACTGCATGTGCAGTTCCCAGAGGAACTTTCTCCTGCACGTGTTGCTGCCAAGCCTTTGCTCTTGGTAAAACGTGCTCTCCTCTGCATCACCCACAGCCTTTGACCAGCTTGAGTCAACGGCTGTGCACAGTGCACTCCATTGTAGGGCACACCCTTGTTTGGACAACAATCTGACACCATTTTCCTAAATTCCACCAGGCCACCTTGAAGGTTTCCCTTGGCTTCAAAGTGGTTTTTAATGACAAGCTTGGTCCCTATTCCCCCAGGGTAATGAAGTTAGTCTTCTTCCCCTAGATAGCATTTCCTCCTTAAGCACACTCTCCTGGGCCCTGGTACACAGTGCAGCAATCCTACCCAACCCAAAGGGGTCTGAACCTCCATCCCAACAGGGCCAGCAACGGGTGACAGAAAACACCGCTAATTACTCACAGCTGCTACCACGACAGGAATAGATGAAACAGTATATTGTTTCAAGAAAGACCATTTGGCACAGCTTACCTGAGAATGGGAGGGCACGCCCTGGGAGACAAGGGTGCTCAGCGCCCACTGCTGGGGGAGAGGCCTCATTGCAGCTGACTCTCCTGTGGCCCTTCTTCACTTCTGGAAGACTAAGGAGAACCCAGAGGGTGCAAGGCCGCCCTATGGCTTCCCAGCAGATTCTAGAAACAGTCCTACCTCTAACCACAGGGGCAGGGGCCCCACAAAGCCCCACCTGGGATGCCAGGGCAGGTGGGCCACTGGACTTAGCCTGGCCTCTCCTTTCTACTCTGAGCTCTGGCACCAGCTGCAGGGCTGGAACCCCAATCTGCCTTGGGATTACTCATCGCTGGGTGGGCTCCTTCTTTATAAGGCTGGGTTCTCCCAGATGATTTGTACAGGGTTGCACAGCGTGTTAGCGGGACAAATCTTGACCAGACATATGAACTGCACCATCGTGTTAAAACACCTTGTTCATACATCCACCCACCCACCTACTGCAGCCAACACCAAATACCTTCGGGTCATCAGCCTCAGGTTTTTCAGTCTCTGAATCGTCATCTTCCTACAAGACAAAGAATTTATAGCATTAAGCTTAAAGGAGTAGCCTGAGCGTTCTCACATACACAATTAGGGTTGGTACAAGCAGCCCAGCTACCCAGCCTCAGTGGCCCTGCCAAGAACCCCTCCCTTAGCATGCGGCCTGGAGAGAGAGAGCGAGAGAAGGGAGGGAGATGATCGGAAGAAAGAACATCAGCATCTCAAACTCAACAGCCATGCCAGGGGTGCCACAGTCCCCACTAATGAAGACACCCATGTAGTTGAAAATCCGATCCATTCAGAAGGGGAAAGGCTGCTTCCGAAAGAGTGGGACCAGCCTTACGGGATAAAACAGGCAGAGTGTCACTGAAATGTCAGGTATAAACCAGGATTATGAACCTTTTTTCCCTTCTTTGCTTTTCATACCCACAAATATATCAGACTTAGTTGTGTGTGGTCCTCCCCACCCCACATGATATCACTCACCACTACTGGGAGTCACACACAATCATACTTCAATACCTCAACCCAGCAGCCTGTGCCGACATGAACAGCGTGAAGGAAGGCACCAAACGACCAGGGTTCATGACCCCGGAAACGCAGGGCCAAAGGGCAATGCCCAGTCTCTCCAGTGTGTGGTTCAAAGGGCTCTGCCCACCACCCAAGCTCTGGCAAAACTGCCCCTGACCCATTCTGTGCAGACTCAGGCCTTATTCAAATGAGGCTGTCAGACACAAATCACCGTGTGGGAAGGGCCCTTTCTATGGCATGCACTGGCTACAGTCAACCACTCGAAAAATAAAAGATCCAAACCCAACCCACTGCTGTCAAGTCAAGTCTCACTCATAATGAACCTAGAAGACAGAGTAGAACTGCCCCATAGGGTTTCCAAGGCTGTAACATTTACGGGAGCAGAACGTCACATCTTTCTCCCACAGGGTAGCTGGTGGGTTCGAAGTGCCAACCTTTTGGTTAGCAGCTGAGTACATTAACCACTGCACCATCAGGGACCACAACTTCACTGATCATTAGAGCTAATGCTATGAACATCAAAGACCAGGAACAGAAGCTGGACCAGCCACCCTGCTAGCTAGCTACGTCCATGTTCACATCTGCTACCAGAACACTCCTAATGCCCAGGAGTCTTTTAACTAACATGCAGAAACAAATGACATTTCATTTGAAACTGCTATTTTCAGATGAGCTACACTTTAACCCAAACATTAAACAGCACTCCAGGTACCAACAGAAACGCCATATAGAGACGTGAATAAACTATGCTGATACTGTCATCGAAGGTGCTGGGGAACCAAAGGTTTTAAATACAATCTCCATAATCCTCTTAAAATAAAACCAATCGTGACAAAACAACATCACAGGTGGAGCGCGGCCAAATACAGCCACGCTTCAGAATGTCTGTATTTGGATGTGATAGGAGGATTTCACCCAAATAGAAAACAAAGCTTAAACATGGATGAAAATTCTAAGCAAGGCAAATACAGAGCAACACTTCAAAAACACACACCATGCAGACTTCTTAGAATGAGTAATTACAGATGTCAAAGCAGCATGTATACTCCTGAGAAAAGCCAGGGAAAGAAAGCAACTTGCTAAGTTTTCTGAACAACTTCAATCAATTCTGAACTATCAGCAGTAATGGATGGCACAAGCTATCTCCCAAGAGAACATAAAATATAAAGACCTATTTGCTTTATTTGGAAAGCTTTCAGGCAACATTTAAGTATCAGAACACAACACTGTTTCAAACAAATAGTAAGTAGCACTATTTCCACCAAAGCTGATGCTAAGTGGGCAGTCTAGTACATCAGTAGCTTTGTAGGCCTGTTTGCTAAGCACCAGCCTCAGATTGTCTTGCTCTTTCTTCAAACGTTTAAATTCCAGCTTATGTTGCTCAGGTGATTGTGTATCTAAAGTCTTTCTTGCCAATAAAGCACAAGTTTCCTTTGTTAGCACTAGGCAAGACCTGTGATCAGGAATCAAAGGCACCCTGATAAAAGGTGCCAAATAAAATGTCAAGAAAGAAGTGAGGAAAGGTCAACGTGAGTGAAAACAAAGTCATTTTCTTTTATAACCTTTTTGATAAACCGAAAGATCTGAGTGAGCTCCAACCAACATTAAAAATATTAAGAGTCGACTGCAGATATAAACAATACATTGATCTGGAGGAATGCACTGTTGCAAATGGAATAAATTATCTCAACAGGGAAAACCAACACAAACACCCACTGATATCTGGGTTAAACAGAACAGCCCACTACTTTTCTCCTCTAGACTTCAATTCAAAGATGAATATAAAATGGCCCAGGTATTTTATTTCTTCAACTGATACCAAAAATTATGTGTGGCTGAGAGCTGGGCATGGGAGGATGAAACGAGCCATGAAATGGAAGCACGAGGACAGTTCAAAAATCTCTGACAAGCAGAGTGGTGCTTTGAGTGGCTCTGGGTTTGGGGAGATTTACCTACCGACTGTTTGCTGTTTTCATCATCTTCCTCTTCATAACCATCTTCATCCCCCCCGAGGCGAGAAAAGTCATCTTCTCCATAGGCTTCAGATACCAATCCACCTTTCTCCTCTGAAAGAGAGGAAAAGAGGAAAATTAATGGGAAAAAAATGTAAGAAAATTCTCAGTGACTTGAGAGGCTAGGACCAACTCTGAAGAAAATAAAACTAAAACCAAACCTACTGCCACCGAGTCAATCCCAACTCATAGCAACCCTACAGGACACAGCAGAACTGCCCCATAGGGTTTCCAAGGCTGGACATCTGTATGGAAGCAGATAGCCTCATCTTTCTCCCATGGAGTGGCTGGTGGGTTAGAACTGCCAACCTTTTGGTTAACAGCTGAATGCTTTAACCACTGCACCACCATCTCAAGTAACTGTAGATCTAGATTTGGCCCTTGGCAAGGCTACAATTTAGTAGCTGAGCAGAGAAGAAAAAGTAAGTACTAAACATAAACATTTGTAATGCTTTTCAGTCTGTGCATTACGCCAACTGATGTCTCCCCTTCTCTGATTATAGCTCTTGAACACCTCTTTTGACATGCATATCTCTACTTTCTATCAGTCACTTGTCTTCTCCTGTAAGACAGACACTGTCTTTCTCACTTCTGTGTGAACCCTCCAGGAACAGGACCTTCACCACAGGGCATTCCATGGAATCCTCAATCATACCTCCTTGGGAAGCAAAATCTTGTCCTATGTCTAAAACAAAGCAAAAACCTATATGTTACTGAGAAACCATTAGAGAACCTCCTCACTGGACAAGATCACACACAACAACAAAATGTGAGAGGAGCTAACCTATTTCACAATGGGCTCAAACATACCAAAGCTCATGAAGATGGCTCAGGGCTGGACAACGTTTTGCACCTCACGTCACCAACTCTACGGCAACCAACAACAACTTATGCCAACCCTCTTCACTTTCCAGATGAAGAAACTAGGGCTCAGGCACGTTAGGCAACTGGTTCTCCAGCTCCTGTTCTCTAACAGTATGATTCTCAGCTTAGGCAGAGCAACACAATCACTAGTGAGCTTTAAAGAACTCACAAAGCAAGGCATTCACAAAGAGCCAGATCCTACCCCACAGCTACAGAATTAGATACTTCACAGTAGAGATCAGATGTATGTATTTCATAAGCTCCAAGATGTGACACATTAATTAAAAATTACTAATTTAACACAGTTTGGAAAGGAATGCTAAGAGAACCATGGTCTGCTAAAAAGACCAACAAGTCTGTCCTGGAAGAAGTGCAGCCGGAATGCTCCTTGGAAGAGAGAACGGCCAGACTTTGTCTCACCTACTTTGGTCATGTTGTCAAAAGGGACCATTCCCTGAACAAGGACATCATGCTTGTAAAGTGGAGGGTCAGAGAAAAAGGGGAAGGCCCTCAACGAAATGGGCAGACACAGTGGCTACAACGATGGGCTCAGGGATAGCAAGGATGGTGAGGCTGGCACAAGACCGGGCAGTGTTTCGTTCTGCTGTGCATAGGGTCGCTGTGAGTTGGAGACGACTCCACGGCACCTAACAACAACACAACAACAATTTAACAAGACACAATCTTTATCTCCCTCGATGTATGTTTACTTATGGCTTTCTCCCATCAAACGACGAGCCTGGAGGGAATAAGGAGTAGTTCCATAGCCTCGGATCCCTCTCCCACTCTGTCCACCCCTCTGCTCAACATGATGTCCCGAACAAAAAAGATTTGCAACAAGTTTCGGCAGAATATGCTTATCAACGAAAGCAGATGGTTCGCTCCTACTCCAGAGCCTCAGACGCTTTGTCCCGCACAACACCCCACGGTTTGGGGCTCTGGGGCTCGATACTTGGGTCACAAAGACCATCTTTTCTCCTCCCACTCCGCTAGGGCAGACACCGATTCTCCCTTCCCACTCAGGCCTCACCAGCCGCGCTGCCTGCTGTTTCGAGTCCACCTTCGCCGTCAGACTCAGGCTCTGAATCCTCCGCGTAAACTGCCAGAGACGACAGAACATTCTTCTTCCCCGCCATCTTATTCCCACAGGACCGGCGCGGCTCACTTCTATGACTCAAAGAAGCCGACTTCGGTATGGAAAGGAGACTTCTTCCGGATCCCAGGAGACCTTGCGCTTGTTACAGACCAGGAACCAATCAAAACGCCACTCCTGCGCCTGGCCCTGCCCCTCGCGCTAACGGTCTCGTTACGTAGTGATTGTGCGACGGATATAAGGTTGTGTGGGGATTTTCCAGCACCCTGAGTACCCTGCTGTTAGGCTTCCGAGGGTTGGGGTTGGCGTTTGTGAGACTTCGAGTAGTTCCTGAGTCAGCAGGCAGCGACAGCCCGGCTGGAGCCCTTCTGTCCCGGGCGGCCCACGGCCGGCGCTGATATCTTGGGGTGAGGGGAAGGAGGCCTCGTTGGAAAAAGGGAAAAAAGCGGATCTGGGGCTCAGAGGAGCAAGAGGAAAGAGCTCTTCTTTGAGGCGTGGGAGGAAGGGGTTAGGGGCCTGGGGAGAAGCATGGTCATGATGGTACTTATCAAAGAAGGAGCAGAAGACTCCCCAGTCTCCAAACTATTCCGAAAATATTCGTATTTTTTTCCAGCTCTGAGCTACACTGTGGCCTGGGATGGTTCCATTTTTAAAATTTTCACTGAGCGTGAAAGCGGAGATGTTAATTACTATACTCAGGAATGTTAATCGCCCGCCGCTATATCGTTTGAGTATATGACTTTAATGTAAGCCCGCCCCTTGCTTTCAAGTGGATTCCGACACATAACGAGCCTAGACGATAGAGTAGAACCGCCCCACAGGGTTTCCAGGGCTGTCTCTGTAGGAAACCGACTGCCACATCTTCTGCAGAGCGGCTGATGGGGCCAAACCGTCAACCTTTCGGTTGGCAGCTGAGTGCTTTAAGCACTGCTACACTAGGGCTTGTTAGTGTAATGGAACAAATTTATACTCAGAAAAGTAGGCTGCGTATTTAAAGCATAACGGAGGGTTTTTGTGGCAATCATGATCATCACATTTGCCTTAACTTTTGGCCACTGTCTCTCACCAAGATGAGCACCCACCCTTCCTCCTTTACCTTGGGCCCCGAACGGCGAGTCCGGAGCACGTTGAAGAAGGTCTTTGGGTTTGACTCTTTTAAGACACCTTTACAGGAGAGTGCGACCATGGCTGTAGTGAAAGGTAACATTACCAAGCTACCTGCGTTTCACTTTATGTTGGCTATCTTGTAGCACTGTAAGGAACACCCTCTTCCTCACCCTGCCTGCCTCCCCCTCCTCGGTTCATAAGTGTATTTGGAAATCTCGTAGACTGGTCACCCACAGCATGCCATCTTATTGGCAGAGCCACACCGGGTGTTCTGGTTCTTTCCTTTCATAGCCAGAGCTACAGATTGTGTTTGGAAACCGTTCCTAGATTCCCATTCTTGTTCCTTTGTGTGTAGGCCAATGTGAATAGCCCACTTCATACACTGACCTGGGTAATCTCCTTGCTGAAGAGTGAATGGCCTGGGCTCCAGAGGGGAAAAAAACAGACAGCAAAACCACTGCCATCGAGTCGATTCCGATTCATAGCAACCCCATTGGGTTTCTGAGGCGGTAAATCTTTATGGAAGCAGATTGCCCAGTCATGCTTCTGTGGAGTGGCTGGTGGATTTGAACCACCAGAGAGGAAGAGGAATAGTAATAATACTGTGAATACGACATATGGTGACAAGTGGAGGTTGTTGAGAGAGGGTCATCAGTGTTAATGTTGTTGTGTGCCATCATGTCTATTCTAACTCATAGTGATCCTATAGGACAGCACAGAACTTCCCCATAGGTTTTCCTAGTATGTGATCTATGGGAACACATCTCTAGGACTTCCCTCCCAGAGAGTGGCTAGATGGGTTCAAGCTGTCCACCTTTTGGTTAACAGCCAACTGCTTAAGCATTGCATCACCAGAGCTCCTAGTGTTAATATTGGTGATATATTTATCAACAAAGGCCCCTAAGTGCTGTGCTTCCATTGTCTGCCCGGATCTGTCCATTCATCCAGCAGTATTCTGCTTCCATGGTTGTTTAGTTCAATCATCTGTTTCCCAGCAGACTCAGATTTTTTACTCTCAGTTGTTACTGTCATTACCAGAGATAGTTGTGTGTTTAAGCTGTGCACATTCTAAATCTCCCAGGATCACTGTCCTTTTCACATACCCACTTTCATAGAAAGGACAGCAAGAGAATTAATATTATACTGAGACCCTCCCATGTGCCATACTCTCCACTAGGTGGCTTTCCTATGTTCTCTTTAATGTTAAATAACTTTGATGCAGGAGAAGGCAAGAAGTGTTAAGCTGTTGCTCGTGTCTTGGGTTTTTGCAGGTGACAAGGATGTCTTTGTGTGCATGCCCACAGGGGCAGGAAAGTCCCTCTGCTATCAGCTCCCTGCCTTATTGGCCAAAGGCATCACCATCGTCATTTCTCCTCTCATTGCTCTGATTCAGGTGAGGCTTCAGGGGATGGAGATGGTAGCCAGAAAAGACTAGGACCAGGTTTCTGATAGCTGGCAATTTCACTTCTCCTTTATTTGAGCTGTTGTCTCCCATTTTCTCTGATTTGCCTACTGTACCCTCTGTAACGGCTTTCCGAGTTACCCAAATGTGAGTTTCTCTGTCAGCGCCTGTCACTGGGTGAGCTCTGTGTTTTGATGGACCTCACCCTCCTTTGTTCCTCTGTGTCCAGAGGGAGATGGCACAGTATCTGTACACGCATACACAGTCACTGTCGTATGTACACACATGTGCATGCATGATGCTGGGATAAGAGATGCAGTTAGATGACAGAGAGCTGAGTTGATGGAGAGAACCCCTCATGTCTGCTCGCTTCTGCAGGGGCACAGGGATGTGAGGCAGAAACAAACAGGAAACTGACTGGGACCTAGGTAGCATCTGCTTTGTCCATCTGGCTGTATTTAAGGCCTGCAGATAGGCTAGTAGGGTCAGAATTGAGGAAGTGTGGCACTGTAGTTGAAGGCCATCCACCATGACGGCAGGGAGATCAGGACCAAGAAGAACAAGAAAAATACTCAGTGTTTATCAGGTCTTAGACGTTGTGTTAGGTCTTCTACATACATTATTTTATTTACTCCTTGTATTGATCCTATTAGGTGATAGCTATTTTTATTCTCAGGGGAAAAAGAGAAAGAAAGAGAAAACTGAGTCTCAGAGATTTGTCATTGTATGCCATCAAGTTGGTCCTGACTCGTAGCAACCCCACATGCAGAGTAAAACTGCCCCGTAGGGTTTCCTAGGCTGTAGTCTTTATGGGAGCAGACCACCAGGCCTTTTCTCCTGTGAAGTGTCTGGTGGGCTCGAGCTGTGACGTTTAAGTTAGCAGACGAGCACTTAACCACTGTGCCACCAGGTTTAGAAGCAGCCAAAGTGCACGTGGCGATGATGTGAGCCAGGATTAAATCCAGGAGTGTGGGGCTCCGGAGCTGCTGCAGCCGTGTCACATTCTGTGTTCCTTTAATTCACAGAGAAGCTGTGCTGGAGGGTGGGGGAAGCTGTAATGGGGAAATGCCCCAGGGCATCCCAGTGACTTCTGGCACTGAGTCCTAAGGGTCAACTACAGTTCTGTCTGTGACCTGTCTCCCGTCTGCCCTCAGGACCAGGTGGACCACTTGCTGGCCCTGAAGGTCCCTGTGGGCTCCCTGAACTCAAAACTCTCGGCGCAGGAGAAGAAGGAGCTGCTCTCTGACCTGGAACAAGAAAAGCCCCAGACCAGACTTCTGTACATCACCCCTGAGATGGCCGCGTCCTCCTCCTTCCAGCCCACCCTCAACTCCCTCCTTTCCCGCCACCTGCTCTCCTACTTGGTAGTGGATGAAGCGCACTGTGTTTCCCAGTGGGGGCATGACTTCCGTCCTGACTACTTGCGTCTGGGCGCCCTGCGCTCCCGCCTGTCACACACCCCATGTGTGGCTCTGACCGCCACAGCCACCCCACAGGTCCAGGAGGATGTGTTTGCTGCCCTGCACCTGAAGCCTCCAGTAGCCACTTTTAAGACTCCCTGCTTCCGGGCCAACCTCTTCTATGATGTGCAGTTCAAGGAATTGCTCTCTGACCCGTACGAGAACCTAAAGGACTTCTGCCTTAAGGCTCTCGGGCAAAAGGCTGATAAAGGGGTGAGGCACTGAGGTTGGGGGGCCAAGATGCATCTAGGGCTGGGTGCTGTCTGCTTTTCATTTTCTGGTTTACTTAACCAGGACTAGCCAAAGCTGCTTAAAATTCTCGCACTACGAGAGTGGTCCCCTTTGCTTTCTGGCATTGTTCCCCTTACTGGGGTTCCCTTGTTCTGGAGCCTTCTGTGGAAAGGAAGCCAGCCCCTCTGTGTGAGGCCCTGACAGACTGATACAAGGGTTGGAGGGGAGGAGGCAGGGAGTTAATAGGTTGCATGCTGAACTGGTTTGGTTCTGCCTTGTTAGAAAATGGCAGAGCCCTCCTGGTGTGCTGCCTCTGAGGACTCTGCTGAGGCTGACTAGAGGAAGAGTGTATGGCTTCTTTTGAGGCAGATTGAGCTATAACAAGGAGCCCTGGGTGGCATGGTGGATAAACACTTGACTACTAACTGAAAGGTTGGTGGTTCAAACCCCTAGCTGCTCCGTAGGAGAAACATGGCAGCCTGCTTGCATAAAGATGGCAGCTGTGGAAACCCTGTGGGGCAGTTCTTCTCTGTCCTGTAGGGGTGCTGTGAGTCAGAATCCACTCCACGGCAGTGGGTGTGGTTTGGGCCTTGCTTCTGTGAAGACTGACGGCCTTGGAAACCCTATGGGGCAGTTCCACTCTGTCCTCTAGGGGCGCTGTGAGTCAGAATGGACTCCACGGCAGTGGGTGTGGTTTGGGCTTTGGTTGTGCTTTAACCGAGGCTGCTCTTTCTGTTCCTCCCAGTGCTCACTTTCTTCCCCTGTCTCCAGTTTTCAGGCTGCGGCATAGTGTACTGCAGAACCAGAGAGGCTTGCGAACAGCTGGCAATGGAGCTCAGCTACCGGGGTGTGAATGCCAAGGCTTACCACGCAGGTAAGGGCCGCCCAGGCCACGTGGCCCTCTTCGTTCTCAGAGGCCTCTTAGCAGATCGTCAGGCCCGCTGATGAGGGAGCCTGGACCATCAGGGGGTCCATTTTCTCTTTGCGGATCTCAGGCAGAGCTAATGTGATTCACTTAAAGCCACTAAAAGGACCTAGACAAGAATGGGGTCTGCAACCCTAATGTACTCCTGAATTTTTTTCCTTTCTACTCAGCCCAGCAGCTGCTGATAAGTTTTGTTTTTTCCCATTTTTTTTTTTTTTTAATGGTGGTAAACATTTAGGTAGGGAAACATTTGCCATCTCAACCATCCTCCCTTGTGCAGTTCAGCGATATTAACTGTGTTCATCATGTGGTCCAGCCATCACCATTAACCACTCCCGAACTTTTCCATCATCCTTAACAGAAGCTCAGTGTCCCCTAAGGGACAGACACATCTTTAAAACAGCTACATGCAGCCTGAGTTTGGGGGAGATTGTCTGACCTATAAGAGCATTTAGCTAACTTCAGCTTGCGGAGCTCACCATCCAGCAGTGGTCTCTGGGGCTCGTTAAGCTGAACGCTTGGGCTGGCAGTGATTTTCCTCTCTCTGGAGGCCCTTCCAGTGGTTGTGGTGCCCTGCTTTCTGGGATGTGCTGGAAGGAACACTCAGTGATCAGTTTTTATAACCCTGGGTCTTAGTGTTAGAGAAAGAGCGCAGGCTGTGGAGGCCAGTGGACTTGGGCTTGAATCTTGGCTCTGCTCCTTATTAGCGACGTAACCGAGAGCAGGCTGCTTAACCTCCCCAAACCTTAATTACCTTTTCTATAAAGTGGGGGTAGCATTTTCCTTGTTGTGGGCATGGGGATGTATTGCTGCTTGGCTCATGTCTGTTGAGCATGCTGTGCCACACACAGAATAGGGTCTTGTGTTTATTAGCGGACGCTCTGTGAGAGCCAGTGCCCAGCCTAGGCTTACGCAGCCAGTAAGAAGTGGATTCGGGGGCTGTGAAGTGCCTGGCACAGTGTAGACCCTGGTCTTCCTACAAGAACGCAAGCTCGCTCCCCACCTTCCCTCTCCTTTGCAGGGCTGAAGGCTCCTGAGAGAACACTGATCCAGAATGAGTGGATGGAGGAGAAGGTCCCTGTGATTGTTGCCACCATTAGTTTTGGAATGGGAGTGGACAAAGCCAATGTCAGGTGCGTTGTGGTTCCTCGCCTTAGCGTCCTGGCTCAGAATGGGCTGCCTGGTCCATTGCCCAGAGGAACAGGCCTGTATGTGCCTTCTGGAGTCAGAGGGGACGAGGCCGCAGGACGTGGGTCTCTAGTACACAGCGTGAACCCTAAAAAGTTTCTGTGTACCTGCTGCCAGGTGACTCTCTGCAACATAGTTCTATCACTCCCTCAGGAAAGCAGGCAGCATGCAGAACCCCCACCTTATCCATTACCAGAGCCCATCTTTGCATTTCTTAGCAGACAGGACCTGGCTAGGTGGCTGGAAGGGAAGTAACTATTTTAAACTGCTCCCTACGAGAAGTCAAAGGCAAAGATCTTGTTACCACCATTCCTATTCCTTGTTGCTGTTTTCTGACAGTCTAGAAGAAATGGGGATACCCTAGCTGCCAGCCCTACCCTGGCAATTGGTGGGAAGCCTTTACCTCCAGCCCAGCCACGGGCCCAAACCTTGGAAGACATTTTGGGCTACAATCCAAAGTTCCAAGCTCTGATGAACTCCAGTAGTGATCCTGGTAGGGTTTAAGGTGTGTTTTGGCACACATGCCCTCCTTGAGCTTTACTGTGACTCTGAGTTGACCAGGGGGCAGTTGTGCAGACTGCGATGGAAAGGACATGGACTTTGGAATTGGAGTCTGAACCCTCGGTCTGCTCTGTCGCATGAGGAGCAAACGTTAGAGCCAGACATCGCTAGACTCAAGTCCTGGCTGTCTGGGTCCTTTGCTGTGTGACCTGTACAGATTTACCCCTCTGAAGCTCAAGTTCGTTGTCTGTAAAATGGGCTACCTCACCTGGTGGTGATTGTAACGATTAACTGATACAGCTGAATAAGCAGGCCCATAGCTGACATACATGGATCTCCATGAGTTGGCATCATCATGATAGCAACTGGTTTCATGTGTTTTCCTTTTAAAGAAGTTAAAGGACTTACTGAGGGTGGTGCAGCTCATACGTAACAGAGCCTGATCTTGTTTCTTAAAGTCCTGTATGTATTCCACTTGGCCTCTGGGTTGTTTGGGCTTCCCCATGCATGTTGGAATTGCCCACGTAACTCCTCTGTGGCCTCTAAGCTGGGCTGCTCCATGGCAGGGAGCCCTGCTGATGGTGCAGTTGCCCTAGCCATGCTCTCTTGGGGCCTCTCTCTGCCTCCTCCCCATGGCCTCCTTGCTCCTGGTCATGGTGAGAAAGCCCCACAGGCCTGAGGCAGGACCACTCGCTCCTCCCCTAGCTCTCCTGCCACGTCTCAGGCTGCTTGTCCCTTTGGGCCCTGCAGGTTTGTTGCCCACTGGAATATTGCCAAGTCTATGGCAGGGTACTACCAGGAGTCTGGCCGAGCTGGCAGGGATGGAAAGCCTTCTTGGTGCCGTCTCTATTACTCCAGGAATGACCGGGACCAAGTCAGCTTCCTGATCAGGAAGGAAGTAGCAAAACTCCAGGTAAGTCCTGGGCAGTAGGTTCCTCCTGTCTGAACCCCCCATTCTCCCATTTCACACGGCTCATGTCTGAACCCAGGTAGAGAGAGGTGTTCCTGGGCCTAGAAGGTATGCCAAGGGTGTCACTATAAAAAAAAAATGTTGCCGTCAATTCAATTCCAACTCCCAGTGACTCTGTAGGGCAGAGTAAGCCATAGGGCTTCTAAGGCTATAAATCTTGTGGATGCAAATTGCCATGTCCTTCTCCTGAAGAGTCGCTGTAGGTTCAAATCACCAACCTTTCAGTTACCAGCTGAGTGCTTAACCGCTGCACCACCAGTGCTCCTTATTGTGTGTTAAGTGGGGAAAGAAAATGGTATGGTGGGTGGCTAGGCAACTTGCAATAAGCAGGTAAGACCTTTATCACTTGTTTACCTTGACACAGTCTTTTCTGTACTCATTATTTTATAGTCAAGATTATAGTTCTGTCTTGTTTTAATTAGCATTGCTATGTAAAGATTTTCCCATATTGTTGTAAGTTATTGGTTTCTGTCTTTAACCATTTATTTTTCACTGGTCATACAGTCTTTGTAGAGAGCCTAAAACAAACCCAAGTATATCAGGAAATTTGGTATATGGGAGGTAGATTAACAGGAAAAGGATGAATGGTTGAATAACTGGTGCTGGAAAAAGATAAATTAGATCCCTGCCTCGTCTCTTACACAAATCAATACAGGTAGATTAAAAACCTAAACGTGAAAACTAGAAGATGCTTCATGACCCAGAGGAAGAGAACAGTAGGTCAAGATTTAAAAAGCAGAAGCCACAAAGGAAGACTTGATTTGTTACCTAGATTAAAACTAAAATAGTTCCTAAATGAGAGACACCATAAATAAATAGAAAAATGAGCTATTGTTGGGAGAGATACTTATAATACATACAATTGACTGAATACATGGAGAACTCAACTCCTACAGGTAAATAACAAAAAAGTTGCCCAACCATAATGCAAAAACTATGGATGGGCGTTTCATGGATAAGGAATCCAAAACATCTAAGAAATATACAAAGAGGTGTTTAGCCTTGTAGGAATCAAATGGAAAACAATGAGCTATTGTTTACACCTCTCAGATTGGCAAAAATGTGAAAAGGCTTTATACTCGCTGTTGGTGCGGATGTGGGGAAAGGGTAGCTGTTCAGTGTTGTTAGGAATCTGCACTGGTATGACTGCTTTGGAGGAGAGTTGGTGGTACCTATAAAGATGAGGACGCTGGTGCTCTGTGACTCGATAATTCCACTACTCGGTAGACAAGGTGTCACATGTGTATGGCAATGGGCACAAGGATGTTTGCTGCAATGCCATAATGTTGTTGTTGTTGTTACGTAACATCAAGTCGGCCCCGACTCATAGCGACCCCTCCTTGGGTTTCTGAGGTGGTATCACTATGGAAGTAGATTGCCCAGGCTTCCTTCCGAGGAGTGGCTGGTGGGTTTGAACCTCCAGCCTTCTGGTTAGCCTGAGTCAAGTACCTTAGGCATTATGCTACCAGAGCTCCCAGAGCAATGCCATAATAGTGGGACTTAACCCTTGCCCAGTAGTATAATAGATGAATAAGCTGGGTTAGTCACACAGTGGAATGTTCTACAGCAGTTAAAAATGAACATGCTAAAGCTACACAGATTAACGTGGATAAGTCCTCCCAAAAGCATAATGTTGTATGTCAAAGCAAAAGGATAGATGCAGACTTCTGGTTAAAAGAAGCAGTTGGACACAGTGCTTCTCTCTGACCCCCTGCAGAATGACAGTAAAGGAATTTTCTACTTACCTTATACTGCTCTGACAAGAATATACCACCATTGGGATGGCCTTAACAAGCTGGAGTTTATTCTCTTATAGCTTGGAGGCTTTAAGTCCAAGTTCAAAGTGCCAGGCTCTAGGGGCTGGGTGAAACCCCCTTAACCTTGGGCTTTACCTCTGCCTCCTGCTCCCAGCCCACTGAAGCTAGAGGCTTTTTTCTTCACTTAGATAGCTACGCTGCTGAGACTGACAAGCCCAAGGTTGACAGGTAACAAGGCACAGTCCCGATATTACCAAACCACATGGCAGGCCATGAATTCAAGTCCATTTGAAAGTCCCAAGGTCAGCAGAGCATGGCAGGCTACTGAGCAATGACACAGCTACATGCAGGGTTCAAGCATGCCATAAGTTCGTTCCCCAAGGCTTCTCCTTATATACGGGAAGCAGACCACATACCCAAAGCAGCTACTGAGCTGCTTGTGGTAGATCCCACCATGGAGCTGATCTCATCATGGGGAAAATAACTACCACCAGCTGCCCAGCCACTCAACCAGGCCCAGCCAAGTTGACACACAAACTGAACCACCACAGGAATAAAACAGTATAAACTCAGAGAGACAGGGAGAACACAACCACAGTTAGCAGTGTCAGCAAAAGTCTGCTTGGAACCCAAAGACCCTGCTAGAAATCTGGAATTCATGAGAAAACCTGGCAAGATGGCTGAATACATGAGCAGTATTTTAGAAGCCAGGAACTTTTCTCTACACTAACGTAACTCCTAAACATGGAAATGAAATATATTTAACTTGCACGAACAAAAAATGAAAAAATACCTGGCGATAAATGTGACAGGCTATTAGAAGAGATTTTATTTTTTTAAGATGAGACTTTCTTAAACCTCCTTCATTGAAAGGAAGACTGGGCCATCTGCTTCCATAAAGATTTACTGCCTCAGAAACCCAAAGGGGGTTGCTATGAGCCGAAATCGACTCAATGGCAGTGAGTTTCGTTTTGATTTTTTTTAATCACTGATTGTAAGATGCCACTAGGGTTTAGAACCACTGCCTTAAATGAAAAGAGCTAAAATCTCATTGAAAGACACAAAACAAAATCTGGGTACAGAGATTAGGTGAAAAAACATGAAGCTATTAGTTCTCCCTAAAATTAGATAAATGTTTATTGACGTTGCAATTCAAATTCCCAGAGTGTCTTACTGAGACATGGTGAATTATATGCCATA